TACATGTGTTTAGGACTAACCTCTGAGGATTAGACAACCCATCATGGACTTGTCCCATTGTCTGCATATTTTAACTACTTCCCCAAATGACTCATAGCACCTAGTAAGCACATTCTTAGGAAATAACAACAATAATTTATAACTCCTTTGTCTTCTCTTGGGACCCCTGTTCTTCTACTGGGTTGCCTTGTCCAACCTCAGAATCAGGGTTTGTGCTTAGTCCTACTGCATCTTATGCCATGCCCCATCAATAGCCCTGCTCTTTTCTGAAGGGAAATGGAGGAATCGTGGATCTGGGGGAGAGGTAGAGTGTTGGTAGGAGTGGCAAGAGGGAAGGCTGTGGTCAGATTGTATTGTGTTAGAGAAGAATAAATAAAAAGAAAAAATAAACTTTAAAAAACACAACACAACAAAACAAAGCTGTAGACATTTAATTCAGATACACTATTTGAAAATATTTTTTATTTAAAGATATGATAAATGAGAAGGCTAACTGTATTTAACAAGTGTTTGCTATGTGTTCCTGAGAGGTGGTTTCATCGTTTCTAATATTTCATGCATACTTCATTCCAACAAAAGGCCCTATTTCTTCTTTGACTAAATTTCAAAAGTTGTTGTTTTTTTCTTGTTATTTTCCAATATTCCACAAGGATCAAAATGTCATTTTTTACCCAATTTTAATTAACTTATCCAGATTTAACCAAATTGCAGTCTCTCATGCATTCAATGCTTTTTCTGTTCTCTGCCTTGAGAAATAGATGGAGGGCTCGTGAATGGTATGAAGTGAGGTGTACCCAGCAAATGGTCCTAGGAGTTCTATTTCATTTCTGTGGAAATGGGGACAGGGACATGGGTTTCAGTGACTCATAGATACCCCGAGATACAGTGGGGGCTGCCTTCCTCTAAAGAAAAATGCTCCAGAGGCTGAGGAAGAAAGAATTTAAGTTCAAATTTCACCTAGGATACAGAAGAAATTCACAGTCAGTCTAACTAACATAGCAATACACCTTTTCAATAATGAAAAATAAATAACTTAAAAATAACTTAAAAACTGCTGAGGATATAGCTCAGTGTTTAGACCATACAGGGGCCCTATGTTCAGTTTTCACTACTGCTAAAAGTAAATTAAACAAAAACTGACAACAAATAGAAAGTCACATGGAAGAGGCAAACTTATAGAACAGTCAGCTTTCAATATTGTGTTCTCTAGAAAGCACTAGAGCCCTGTTCTAGGTAGATGTGGTGCTGTGACAGTGATAGAGAAAGAAGATAATTTAAAAACAGTGTGAAAATGAATATTTGAATTTTAATCACGCAATTCCATCATAAGAATGGCGGATATTTGTCATATAAATGTTGCTGTCACTTGTGCACATTTCAAATTAGAAAAAATATCTTCCAACAGTGTCTGTGAGCTCTAAAAATCATTCACCAAAAGCAGTTTGGAAGGGACTAGAGAGGTTGCTCAGTGGTTAAGAGCACCAGCTTCTCTTTCAGAGGCCTGCTATGATTCCCAGAATCTACATGGAAGCTTGCAACCTTCCATGTATCTCCAGTTTTTGGAGATCTACCACCCTCTTCTGGCCTTTGCAGGTACTGCACTCAAGTAGCACGCATAATACATGAAGAGAAAACACACAAATAAAAAATAAAAATAAGCAAATCATTTTATTAAGTGGAAGGTTGCATCTACCAAATAATTAAGATAGTTGTATAGTTGGCAGGTTGGTATAAAAATTATCAAGATTAATATTCATAATCAATACTGTCTCACAAATAACATTCTCTATCATGACAGTCTGGTTTTTATGCAAACCTTTGAAACTACCAAATATCAATGTAAAATTTACTCTCAAATTTACATATTACAGAATATTAAAAAGATAACTTTCACAATTTTAAAGATCATTTGCTCCTGCTTTCTACCACCAAAAATGTTATCACTGCTAAAAGACTTTGTAACATTGGCAAATCAAATGTTAAATGTTTAAAATGTCCTCATGCAATATTCTTTGCCTAATCCTGAATATGCTGAACCTGGCTTACAAAGTGAGTTCCAGGACAGCCAGGGCTGTTACATAGAGGAAACCCTGTCTTGAAAATCCAAAGAGAGAAAGCATCAATTAATAGAGTTGTGCAAGTTCACATGACATATAAACATGTATTTTAGTACATGAGTATATTTATAACTTTTATCTTCAGGACTAATGATCTCAAAAGTCATAAATACTAGAACTTTCAAGTTGCAGATCAGAAGTGCAGAGTCCAGGTCAGGATCTGCATGGTTGTTCTCTGCCTATATGTGAACCTGCCTCTGTTCACCTGAACTCAAGAAACAGGGGCCCATAAGGCTAAATGCCCAGGTCCTCTCCATCATAGGCCTTCTCCAATCTTTTGTTTGCTTTCTAGAAAAGAATCACAGACTGGACTTAAGACTTATCCTGGGAAGTTTGCATTTGCATTAGCAGAAGGTAAATTGGTGACTTTTGATTACAAATGTGGATTTCTCTCTGGCTGTTAATCCCGTGTTTCCCTCTAGTTTGAGGTCAGGTTCCTTGGGAGCAGCTTGAGTGCATACTGCCTCTGCACACAAGCAACTGACTTTAGAAAAGTCCTGTAAGAATCTAAGAAGAGATGGTGAGAAAACAGGATGGATGAGCAGAAGTACACTGTCAGGTGGAATTGGGAAGAATTGCAGGAATAGCCTGATGGTTAAGGAGCTTGGCATCTTTAGGCCTCAGGCAATCTCTTTCAGGAAAGTGCCTTCGGACATCTGTACCATTAGGAAGGGGCGGCCACTCATGGTGATGTGTGCTCTGAGCCCCTGGGCTTCAAAATGCTGATGGCAAACCTTGTGGGAGGTGCAGGTAGGCTGTTAGAGCAAAACAGAGCAGAGGCATACGGGCTGTTAGAGATGTGCCAGGAGAGACTTGGGCACACTTGATCATGCATTGTATATGCTTGAGAACTGAGATTCTGCTGTATCATTTCCACTGCCAGAGTGTGGCAATCCCAATACAGAGATGATATGGTTCTTCCAAGCCAAATCAATGGAGTCCACACAGTTATAGTGAGAGGAATAGTGACCAGGCACCGTCAGCCCACCTTATGCCTTGTTATAAAGCTGAAACACTAAAATTTATGTTCAATACTTGCATGTGAGTAAATTCCCTAGATGGGCAAATGTAATTTCAACATCAAATCAGTATGTAACAGCCAGGTGTGGGGCTTCACACTTGTAATCCCAGTATTCAGGAAGTAGAGCCAGGAAGATCAACAGTTCAAAGCAGTGGGCTACAAAAGCAGAGATCATGCTTCATAAAGACAAGAGCTGGATTTGAGCTTCACAGGAAAGAAGCACTTACCTAACTTTTACAATGTCCTGGGGCTCATCCTTATTATTGGAAAACATATTTACTGTATTAAATTTAAAAAATCTAAAATGCATAGCATCCTTATCTGCCCAAATATTTCTTAGTAAAATCAATGCTTTGTAACAATTTGAGACCATCACTGCAAATAACAAGTGTTACTGAGTGTTTATCTTTGGTGATACACTGAGAACTTATTAAGATGTTATAAGATCCTTGGTATTCATTTTACTGTTCCTGTTTATTCTTGAAGTATTTTCTACCATGACCCAACACCTCCACAACCTGTATCCTTGGAATGTACTGTTACTTGTGTCCCCTTTATCTGTGACTATCAGTCCTTCAACATCTAAGTGTATATTCCCAAAAGGATAGGATAAATGAGTATCTTAACTCTGGGTTTGAAGGTGAGGCCAATGCTCTTTCATTATTCAGAAACATTCCTTTCAAACTAACACTACCCATGGATGTCAAAAGTGCTTTGAGTGCAATGAGGTCGGGTAGACAGAAGGACCTTGCCTGGTGTACAGGATGTGCTTCCTGGCCCAAGTTGGATTATTGGGGAAAATCTGGCTGTGTGAAAAGGTTGGATATAGCATGGAAGAGTTCTGTGGGCTGAATGGTAGGTAGGTAGGATCCTAGCAGAAACCGAGAGATCATTTGTGACACAGTCAGGAGAGGTTTGTCTAGGCTGGTATACTGAGTGGTACCAGGTTAGTTATGGTTGTATGGGGTAAAGTGTGGATGGGGAGGTCAGGAAGACTCTAAAGCCTAACCCCAAAGAAGGAGGCAGAAAATATGGCTGGGTAAAGAGGGTTAATGGAGCACAGAAGAGGCCTGGAATGGGTGGCAGATCATGAATGATTTTTAATATGTTTTTAAAATTCATATTACAAGTGTTTTATGAGAATTTTTGCTTCGGTGTTCATCAGAAACATTAGCCTATACTCTACTTTTGTTGTTAGTGAATCTTTGTCTAGTTTAGTTATCAGTAAATACTGGTTTCATAAAGCAAATTGGTAGAATTCTATTTCTTTTTAGTTCATCAAATTCCTTGAGGAATAATCATGTTAGTTCTTCATTAAAGATATGGTTGAATTTAGTAGTAAAATCCATCCAGACCTGGGTTTGTTTGCTTGATTATTTGGGAGGCTTTTTAAATTGCCTTTTCCATTTCACTGCATGTCACAGATGTGTTAAAATTGTTTGTATCTAATTTTGATAGTGTGTGTGTGTGTGTGTGTGTGTGTGTGTGTGTGTGTGTGTACCCTCCTGCCCTGTGATATGCATGTGTAAGTATGAAGCTCCATCTCCTCAGTGTTCATTCTACGTTCTCACATGCCTTGGGATAACAACAACTCAGAAGGAGCTGGTGGCAGTCTTTTATTGAGGAAAGGGTGAATAGCAGGCTACACCTTGGTGCATTTGCAAAGCAAGTAGAAGAAATCAACAACGGACTAGTCATTTAGGTGTGCAGGGTCTTTCTGCAGCATCCTTCTCTACTGATCTCTTGGTGCTAGCATTCTGAAGAGACATCCTCTGGGACTAGGACCCCTATCTGATGAAAGAGGAACTAAAGGATAAGCTAGAGTTATGGGAAATCAGCACGATGTAGTGTGGCCTTGATCCTCAGGCTCTGGGACAATTAAAGTTTGTTACGGACATCTTGTTCTCCCAGGACACACTGTAGATCTGGAAATTGCAGATAACTCTCTACAAAAGGGGAGACAGAGGGGCAGTCAGTTTAGGTTACAGCTAAAGGAAAAGTACTCAGCCTGAGGTGTCAGATCAGAGTGGAAATGATATAAGTGAGACACCCATGCCTCCCTATAGCTCCTATTAAGGTACTCAGACTGACTCTGCAGAGTTACTTCATTATTTCTCTCATCATAACCCATAACACGTGCACACTTACACACACATACACACACTCACTGACACAACTTCACACAAAACAGTCCCAGATACATGTGCACTCATAAACCTACAGGCTTGCACACTCCCCATCTTGCAGGTTTTAGTCCATGTGCATACCATCTGCTGATCTGGCTGTTCATAGAAGGGACAGTCACTCAAATCAGACTGGCTTTTGGAACATGTGGTTCGGCCTAACTCTATTTTCAGGTAGAAGTTCTTCCCAGCCACAACCTATAGTGAAAATCTGTGTTCATAGCTCCATCCATGAACTGTTGGAACTATCACCCAAAGAACACACTAGCTACCTTTCAGCAGGGTAGCACAGGCCTGGATTGCAACTCATTTCCTTCTTAGAGCAACTCTAAGGGGGTGCCTTGTGTTCCCAAGGAAGAGCAGAATCAGGATATGGAAAATGGAAGCCAAGGAATGACTGTTTGGTTTTTCAGTGGGCTCTAGGAGTGAAGACAGAGCTCTAGGGAGATAGCCGGGAGTGATAACCATTTTCCAGGGTTGCTCTGAGCACAAGCAAAATCTCTGGTTTGTACACAAGACTAAGTCAACCCTGCTGACTGTGACTCTGGAGGCAACGGCAGTGATATACTCTAGGAAGGTCGCAGGCTGGTGATTGACTTCCATCTGTTCCCTCACCATAGCACACATCCCAAGGGAAGCCTATTCCCTCTGTTTACCAGTGGTTGTCAAGACTCTTTTCTTTGCAGAATAGGGAAATGTGGTATGTTTACACATGAAGATGACGCAAGCCAAAAGGAAGGTGGCCCTCCCTGCCTCATCTTTTAGTGTGATTGTCTTTGATAATATTTTTCAAGTGTGTAACATACTTTCACATCTTCCATTAGTTTGTAATTAGAGATGAGTTTAACACATTCCTTGCCCCAGGCATCCCAGATGAAACTTGTCAGGAAGGCAGATTATGAGGTGAGGAACCTGGAAACAGGGTTCTGCTTCTTGCCTTGAAGAACTAGGAGTAAGGTCCTTGCTGCTTCTGTTTCTGGATTTCCCTCCTGTAAACTAGATCCACAGACTCTATAGTCTTTAACTCCTACAGTTTCCTCCAATGGCATTCATTATACAATGGCATGGTCCAATAAGGACCATGACACCTGGGAGGACATAATATGTTCAAGTTGGTGATACAAGCTGATTGCTGGAGCAGGAGAAGTAGAGACGATTTTGAGTCATCTAATGTTAAAAAGGGGACAGAAAAGAGATTTACACATATGTGTGTGGACCGTGTTGTGGCTCTGTTGGTATGGGTTGACTGAAATTGGACACAATCTATCCCATATAATCCCCAGCCTTCCATTTAAGATGACATTGGAAGTATAATTTAATGGTGGCTCTGACCCCTTCTTATCTTGGTAACTATTCTATTTGATAAGGGATGATTCCATGCTGCAGAGGCAGAATCCAGGAAGGTCCTTTCTATGTAGAGGGAAAACAATGTCTGGGGTATTGGTCTTGATATTCCCATCTTAAAATAATGGCACCAGTCTCAATGTTCTTCCCCAGAGTACTCAGGGCCACCATGTAAATAGAAGCAAGGATTCTTTTGACAGTTTGAAGGTACTTGCTTAGTGGATTTAGGAGGGTACCTACCTGATGACTGATATTAACCTAAAGGAAACAGAGAAATCAGACTCAACACCAGTTGATGGATTTATGTGTTCCTTACAGATAGGGAGTCTTTCTGAGAAATGTGTCCCCATGGTATTATACCATGGAGCATCATCAAGCATTCATACAAAGTTAAAATGGCTAGAGTTCTCCTGGCCCATATCATTGTATGCAGAGTGTATAGCTGAGTGAGATCACATTGAGCAGAACATGACTGCCACAGTTGAATGGATCCTTCCATAATTTCAAGGTCAGGGAAGTTAAGTAGAAGCTGTTAGAGGGAAGGATATTTAGGTAATTGGGTAAGGATATGAGCCCAAGGTGGGGGTGTCAGTCATTTCGCATTAGCAAACTGAATGAGTCTGAAAGTAAGGTAACCGAATGTGTCTGCTGACTCCCGATTTTGTAAAAGGAATCTTGCAGTTGTACAGGATGTCCTAACTTGCAAAAACTGTTCATTGAAGGAAGTATTTACTTTCAATGCATTTAAAAAGTAAATGCACATAGTCACACACTTGAGCACACACATCCTTGAGAGACTGTGAAGAATGGCCCAAGCATTCGAGTGTGTGTGTGTGTGTGTGTGTGTGTGTGTGTGTGTGTGGAGGGCGGGGCCTGCGGGGCCAGGGGCAGTAGGCGGGCTTGGTGATTGGGGATGCCGAGATGCACTGGACTGGCAACTCAGCCTTCTCTCAGCTCTGAGCCCTGAGGCCCGCCTGTGGAGGTGACCTGGTCCTGCCTGTTCTGGCTGTTCCTGGATGCACGACAGGAGCTCTGGCTGGGCTTCCTGCAGCAAGATGTCTTTGGGGAGCTTGTGACAGCCCTGACCTCCCAGCGCCCCCGGCTGCCTCTCCACCCTCCGCCCCTCCATCCCTGACCCCTACCCTGAACCCCATGCCCTCCTCTCAGGCCTCGCTCTCCCCTTGACCTCATGCTCTCTCCTCAGGCCCTCACCATGCTCCTCCCCTCAGGCACTCATCCTCCTCCTTACCTCAGTCCTGCCCTCACCACAGAGCCTTAACCACCAGGCTTGCTTGCAAGGCCCCTGGATACCTGCTCAGGCCACACCTCCTGGCCTTCCCTTCTCAGCACTCGGAAGGCAGAGGCAGGTGGATCTCTGTGAGTTCGAGACCAGTGAGTTCGAGACCAGCCTGGTCTACATGAGCTAGTTCCAGGACAGCCTCCAAAGCCACAGAGAAACCCTGCCTCGAAAACAACAACAACAACAACAACAACAACAACAACAACAACAAACAACAAAAATTGTGCAAGAATTAAGAAAAAAGAGATCAAGTCTGGAGAGAGAGTTCAGGGGTACATACTGCCCTTCTGGAGGACTTAGGTTTGATTCTCAGCACCAACAAGGAAGCTCACAACCCCTTGTAATTCCTGCTGTCTTCTGACACTCTGACACTCACGGGTATTCTCTCTCTCTCTCTCTCTCTCTCTCTCTCTCTCTCTCTCTTTCTCTCTGTCTGTCTGTCTCTCCTCCTTCCCCTCTCTCTCCCCTCACCCTCTCTCCCTCTCTCCTTTCTTTTCTCTTTCGGACACACACATGACATACACACATACACACAAATAATTCAAAATCTTAGACTTTCTTTTAAAATGTTAAAGGGAAGATACTTTAAAGATCAGTCAGTGAGAGCTGTCTGCCGGGTCCATTTGTCTTTCCTTGTAGTCATTTCAATAGTGTTTCACACTGACAACAAAGAGTTGGTGGTAGATAGTTAATTATGGCAGATTCTGATCCCAGCTCTGACAGCCTTTGTACTTCTGGCCAGCTAGAACTGGGGAACAGAATGGAGGTACTAGATAATTACCCATAAATCTCCAGCTGGATTTCTAGCTAATCTAAAGGAGACAATCCTAAATGCACCCATGGAGGCTTGTGGGGCACCAGATATTTGCTGAGAACATGGTTTGAACACCAAACAGGGATGTATTCATATTATGGTTCAATCCGTAACACCTGCAATGAAGATTATTGTCCTTTGGAACGACACAGAGGTGGAAGCAATGTAGGGAAGTACGGGAATGACGGGGACATCAGCAAATACTCTAAAGGACAAACTTATCCCACTATCCCTGGGCCAGGCACCCACCTGCTGACTGGCGCTCATCACCCGTATTGGCCTGCTAATGTACAGGTCATTGTTCATGTCATTGTAGGTTTTGACAGCAAATTTCACTGCTTTCTGCACCTCCTTATCATTCGGGTCAGCTGGCTCCACTCTACCCACCGCCACCTGCTCATCTTCAGCATTAGTACTGGTTACAGGGCCCACAGCTAGGATGAATGTCAGGGCTAGAGAAGCCAACAGGGGCAGTGAGGGGCTCCGCAGGCTGGCCATGGTTGATTGTAGTTGAGCTGCAGCGGAGCAGAGGAGAAATAGTCCAGAGTGCTCCTGGTCTGCTTCCTTGTCTTTTTATCTTGCAGAGTCAAGCTGCTCAGGTCCTCCTTACTCCACCCTGCCTGTCCCCACCCCTAGGCCCTCCTTTCCCCAGACTTACCCACCCCTCTCCTTTCACCTGCAGGCTCTCCTTTCCCCAGTCTTGACACACTCTCTTGTCTTCTTCTCTTTTCCATTGCCACTTAGTTCTTCTCCCTAAGTCCCCTCCTATATCCATGTTACTTTTATCTCCACAAATGAGTCCTTGCCCTTATGACTTTGAACAGCCTGCCTGTGGTTTTGAGCTCAACTTCTACTAAAGAGAGAGAAAAGAAAAGCACCTTGGCTCCCTGAGGTTTTTGCAGGTCAGGGGTAGCTATAATACCAAGACCTGGATATCCCTAGTTCAAGGATGTTATTTCAGAGGTTCCAGAAACAGACAGTGCCCTTTCCTGGGGAACTTCTTTGCCAAATACACTGAATTCACCTTTATTTGAAAAAAGGGAAAATTATTCCCTTTACACAACTCACAGATGTCAGTCAGGGTACTCAATAAATGAATTCCTAGAGCTTCTCCATGTACCTGATGCTCTAGAACTTAGAAACAGATTCTGGTGACTGATCCTTGTATATAATATTACAGCTGGCAGCTCAATACAGAAATGACATGAACCTATGCATAGTTTTGAATTTTCTAGCAGACATATTAAAAATGTATGAAGAAGTAGGTGAAAATTTTTCAACATATTTTTATAACTTAGCATATCAAATGTTATTTCACTATGTAGGAATAATTCTTTTTTAAAGTTTTTTCTTTTTTATTTAAATTAGAAACAAGCTTCTTTTACATGTCAATCTCAGTTCCCTCCTCATCCCCTCCTCCCCTGCCCCCCCACCAAACCCCTATCCCAAACCCTTTCTGCTCCCCAGGGAGGGTGAGGACTTCCATGGGGGATCTTCAAAGTCTGTCATATCATTTGGACCAGGGCCTAGCCCCTCCCCAGTGTATCTAGGCTGAGAGAGTATCCCTCGATGCGGAGAGGGCTAGGAATAATTCTTAACAGATAGCTTGTGTTCCTTGGTGCACATATGTATTAACTATTTGGATTCTGTGTTTGTACTGCCAGGGCACATAGTTCTTCAGACTGGCACTATTTCTAGCAACTCATGGCTATGTGTACTAAAAACCATAATATAATGCAGTCAATTAGTAGGATGTGTTCTGGGGAAAATGAATTAAGTTCAGGGACTTATAGATGCCCTGCCTGCTGGAAATGAGAGAGAAGGACAGCAAGAGGAAGATGACTGCCGCTGGATACTTGTGTATTGGGGTGACTTTTAAGATCTTAAAGGGACAAGAGGTCCCGTCTAGGCCACTGAACCAGAACTCTAGGCAGAGAGTATGCCCCTGAGACATAACATGTCTTGTCTTGACTCTTCTAGAAACACGGAGCACTGGAGGATGTCTGAGCAGGAAAGGGGTATTGTAGGGTCTCTCACCTTGCCAGGTGTGAGGACAATGAATGTGGGGTGAAGGATCAAGCTGATGAGAAGGACGGTGTATGAAAATGAATGTAAGAGTGTCATCTGCTCTTGCTGCTCCACTAAGGGAACCTCACTGTGACTCTGGCATTCTTCCCTCTGTTTGGAACACTTACTTGGTTTTCCTGAACTCACCAGGAGGGAGATCTACTTAACATAGGCTGAATGCTCTATTTTATGTGTGCAGAAGAGTCTTAGTAAGTGTATATATCCACTCTTCAACAAACCTACACAATATGCTCAGAAAGCTTTCTGGTACCTGTGCTATCCCTGGTCACACACATGATCCTGCCTGTGCCTGAAGATTTTATGTTACTCCTGCCCCTGGACTTCTAGCAAATATTTGCAGCAGCATTTTTAGGTATCCAGTACCTCAGTGCTTTTTTTTTTTATCCCAATTGTCAGTTCTCTTTTGCCATGACCTGTAGGTCTTGTTCCTGGAATCCTGGCTCTGAGCAACAGGGAATGAAGAAAGGACAAACACACAGGCACATGTAGAATGAAGCTGGGACCAGGTGGAGTTCTCTAACTGCTAACTTGCAACCCGATACTTCGCTGTGTTTATTAGGTACAGCAAAGATTTTGAGGTCACCTAGGCTGGGTAGGAGGTTTCTATAGGAGAACAGTCTCAGGCTGTAAACATCACAGAGGAGGAAGCTGTAGTTGCCCATCTTTGCACACATATCAATAGCTAATAAATACTCATAATTGGACTCCCAAGGAAAGCTTTGCAATTTTCTTTAGCTGGGCCCATATGAGTAATGCTTTCTGGATTATCCCATGGGCCCAACGTCTGGAAAGTCCTCAGCATAGCTCTGTTCATGTCAAAGTACACAGCAACTCAGGGCTTCAATCACTTAGGCCTTCATCTGCTCACTACATTTGTTTTCTCCATGTGTATAAACATTTTAAGCTTGTTACTTTGTGGATTGATGGAGCCCCAGCTTAGGTCAGTGAAGGCCTACTCTCAAGAAAGACCCTAAGAATAGTATTGGCAGAGGATATTCTGAACAGAGAGTTGGTTTTACTTGTTCTCTTGATCTTTTCCTTTGTAAAGAATAATGATGCTGTGACAAATGACTTCAAAGTGAAGACATCCCACTTTTCCAGAAAGATCAGGTGTTGCTTAGTTTATTAAATGGCACCAAGGATAGTCTTGGGAGTGGAGCATGGTGGTAAGCTAGCATCTGTTCAACCCTGTCTACTCTTGGACTTTATATTAAGTGAGAACAGGCCAGCAGGAACGAAATAGGAAGATTCTAACAGCTTTGTACATAAAGATGCAGAGGAACCAGGAGGTGCTGAAGTATAAGCTGTAACACATGATAAAGAATATAGAGCTGAGGCAGCCTAGGGAGGTTGCTATAGTGAGCAACAGCTTCTCAATGTGAGTGAGATAGCCTTATATTAGAGGAAGCTGCCTAGGACTTGTACAACTTATATGGAAAGCCAATGCCTAATTTCAAAGCTTCAAAGAGCAGATTGATTCTTTTATTAGGAGTAAATGCAGTTAGTGACTTTAAGTGGAAGCCACTATTCCTTTGTTGTTTTGAAAATCCTAGAGCCCTTAAGAGTTACACTAAAGCATCATCAAATCCTGGATGGCAGAACACCTATTTACAACATGGTTCACTGAATATTTAAAGCCCACATTTGACACCTACTGTTTCAAAACATTCCTTTCAAAATATCACTGGTCATGGGCAGTGCACTTTGTCATCCAAGAGATCTAACAGAGGTAGACTATGATAGTGCAATTTCTAAGCCATTGACAATATCTGTTCTATAGCCCACAAATCAGAGAGTCTTTTGGACTTCTAAGCCTTGTTATTTAATTAATCCATTCGTAAGGCTGTAGCCATGATCAATATTGACTCTCTGTTGTGGATACCCGAGGCTCATGGGAAGTGATCAAAATAGCAACATTATCAAGAGTTTACAAGATTATTCCAGCCTTCATAGATGCCTTGGAGAGGTCCAAGTCCTCAGTGGAAGAAATCACTGCAGAGGCAGCAGAAACAGCAAGAGACTTGGAAGTATCAGTGAAGTCTGAATTGATTGTTATGTGTCTTAATATTGGCAGCATATGGAGGGCATGGAACTGTTTCAAGACCAGAAAAATACATTTATTTTATCAATAGGACATTCAGGTCATGGTGCTTTCTCTTTGGAGACCAGGTAGTGACCATGTCCAGTTCTATGTTGGCTTCATTTGTGGAGTGGCATTACATAAGGGACATGATTTCATGCCCCCATTCATCATGGACATGTATTTCTGTTGTGAAATTGTACAGTGGCCAAAATGCAATCATATAGAGGTTCCTTGGGGAAAATCAAGCATATACAATTAGAATCAAATTCTATAAAATGTCAAGGCAAATAGTGTTTATAAGCAATGCATAGATGCATGAGGAATACAGTAATTTTTGCTTTAGTATTAGTACTTTCTTTAACTTTTATATCTATTTCAATATTACTCCCCAAATACTTTTAAGATGGCGCTTAGTACATTTTACTCTTCATCTTTGTTAAAAGCTCAGGGTCACTACTCAGGCTTTATTGTTATTGCTATTGTATAGCATATCCATCTTCCTAGATGCACTTACACTCAACTAATTTTTTTTAAAACCAAAGATACCATCATAATACAAGATTTGGTTCAAGAGATGGAAGGGATCTTTTATTTTATTGAGAATTAACTATAAAAGAGGTATCTCCAAGCTTGAAGTCAGGAGTGGGTTATAGCTATCTACTTAACAACTTTATCTAAAGCAATAGGAGCATTTCCTTAGCAATGCTAAATTGTAAAATATTTAATTCAGGGTTGAAGAGATGACTCAGAGGTTTTTCAGAGAACCCCAGTTCCTGTCACCCATGTGGAAGCTCAGAATTTTCTGTAGCTCTGATTCTGGGTGATTGGACACCCTCTTTTAGCCTTTTAATGCACCAGGCACCCACATGGTACAAAGACATGCATGCAGATAAATCACTCATACATACAAAATACAAATTTTAAAATATATATTTAAAGATAAAAATAATTATTTTTAATTTTGTTATGAACTTATTTCTAGAAAACATTGGTAATTATTCTCGTGGCAGTAGTTTGATAAGTGACTTCATAATACAGTACCCACTTACACTTGGTTTTTAACTGAAGAGAAATACATTTTCCCCAGTTTATGTTTTTCCTTAAATTTGGTTTCATGACTATAGAAGGTACTGTGAATTCATTGTACCCCTAGTAAGATAGCAGCTTATAAAATGTTATCAAGCATCATTTCTCACTACACATATTCTTTGAAACACAAATTCAATCAATTGGACAATCTTCATGACTGTGTTATTTTAACAAAATGCCATAGTGGCTCCCATGCTTGAGCTGCCACCACTATGATCAGTCAGAAGTAGTGACATCC